TATTGTAAAGTGGTACCGACAGTACAATGCTACAATAAACGTTGCTGGTAGAGTCACACACTTAGAAGGCAGTCGTACACATTACAACTCATGTAACTAATGAAATTAAAAACAACAGCTTTCTCGTATTTGTGTTTTGAGTTGAAATAGCAAACACTTAAAATAGGGAGTCACAGCTTCTGAATATTCAACAACTTTTATGTTTTTGATACATTTTTTTACCTACAAAAACGTAGGAACGCAGCGTCCACACGGCGGCATGCGTTGAAGCTTGCAGGTGGGCGTGTCTGAAACTCGACCAACAACCAATCACATGAATCTCCCGCCCTGGACAAGGTTGATTGGCAAAAGCTTGTATCGGCCCGTCCACACACAGGCATGAAATCTTTTAAAGCTTCGCCCATTCACTTGAATGGGGTGACGTAGAAGATTTTTAATCTTCGCCGAACTGCATTGTGGGGAGCGGAGCATGGCTTTGCAAGCATCGTGAGCATCAAAAGTTGAGCAATGTTCAACTTTTGATGCTCCCAATGCTTGCGAAGCTGGCATCAGCCAATCAAATCCCGTTTATGCAAATCCCGCCAGTGCAAGCGCTAGCCAATCAAACCGCATGTACTGTATGCAGATACCGCTGCGGTCTTTTCCATATGTCATAAAATGTTGGATAAATTAATCATCGCTGTTGGAAATGTCCCGGTCCTTTACGACTGCTCTCTGTTCACCTACCGGGACCTAAACCGGAGGAACCAGGCATGGAGGGAGGTGGCAGAGACAGTTGGTGAAACTGGTAGGTTTTCACCTGTTTGGGGAGTTTATATCCAGTTTACTTCGTTTTAACATTGAATGGACAGGCTTTGTATGCCGGGGGCGGGCGGAAGATTCCTGGAAGATTCCTGATTGGTTGTTGGTCGCCTTGGGCGCGTGAAATCGGCAAGCTTCAGACACGCCCAGCATCAAGATTTTTCAAGATTTTTTTCATGCCTGTGTGTGGACGGGCCGATATGATCCGTCGAAGCTTCAAAAGTTGAACGTTGCTCAACTTTTGCAGCGAGCAACGCGTAGCGACGCTCCCACAATGCAGTTTGGCGAAGCGTGACGTCACCCCATTCAAAGTGAATGGGCAGAAGCGTTGAAGCTTCAACGCACGCCGCCGTGTGGACGGGCCGTAACAATGTTTTATTTGCTCTGATCTTCAGATCTGCCGGCCAATAACAGCATTTCATCTAATATTGGGCCAAAGTCAGTAAAGAGGAGCGGGCAAGAGATGGCTGCCGCTGAACATTTTTGAAGCTGCTATCATGAACGTGTTGAATAAACTGGACTGGACCAAATTTCAATTTGGGTGTGGCAATGTCAAGCCAGATATAAATATTATTTTGTATGTTTTTCACAATATTTTTGAAATGATTATAGACCAATCAGATAATTGATTAGAGAGTAATCGAGAAATGTAGAATAAAATTTATGATATTAAGGTTAAGGTATGTGCGCATGAGTATAGAAATACAATAAGGTGTGTGTGTGTGTTAACTAAGAGGTGGTGGTGGTAGTGGTGGTAGTGGTGGTAGTGGTGGTTGTGGTGGTTGTGGTGGCAGGGAGGGGTCCATGTCGGCCTTGCAGCGTTTGGCTGGCAGTGAGTTGTCGTGAGCTTTGCGTATGTGTCTGTACAGGTCCCCTGATTGTGTGTAGCTCCGGTAGCAGTAGCGACACTCATAAGGACGCTCCCGTGTGTGCACAATGGCGTGGCGCCTTAATGTGTATGTACATGAGAACGTCTTTCCACACACTCCACATGTGGGGACGTCCTCCACAAAGTTCCCCATAGTGTCCTGGAAGTCCTGGAAGTAGGCAGGATGCTCCGAATGCTGCTGGGCTGCGGATGGAGGAACCAAGGGGAAGGAGGAAGTGTCCTGCGAGGAAGGGCCAGCACCAGAGGAGGAAGAGGAGGGAGAGAGGGGAAAGGAGTAGTCATTTGAATGAGAAGCCATTTGTGAGAGGCCCTGTGGATGGGAGGAGAGAAACTGAGGGCTGTGCAGCTCCTCTTCTTCCTCATACTCATCGTCTACTTCCATAACTGGTTCCGCTCCCTCCTCTAACTCTTCATCAGATATAACAATGGCCTCCACTTTTATGTTCACATTCTCTCCATCATTGTTGTCTGTCCTCATTCTGCCCATAAGAGGGTGAGATCTTTCATTTGTAGTGGGGGGTGAAGCTCCCATATTCCCCTCAGATCCTCTAAGGGTTTGTGTCCGAGTAGCCCGGCAGAAGTCCGAGCTTTGGGGTTGAAGCGACATAGTGTTCTGGATTCGAATTTGGGGGAGTGTACGCTGTGTTGGCGAGTGTGCTGGGTTGCGTGCGGTTAGGGCTGATGTTTGGATTAAATTGACCATCTGTTGTCCTCTGCCTGATGTACCCCTGTAGTCAGCCTCTGAGGGTTTCCTTACAGAGACATCACATGCCAGTCGGTGATCGTCCTGTAGGAGGCTGGTGGAGAAACCGGGTCCTGACTGGGAATAAGCAACCACTGACCGACTGCTAGCCTGGCTCACTGGCACCACGGAGGAAGAAGACGAGGAGGGCTGCTGGTTATTGCTGTTGCTGATGGAAGAAAGACAGAAAGAAAGATATAGTGTAAACAGTGGAGAGATGCACCGATCGCCAGCCGCTGGTGAAAACCGTCCGCTTGTCAGATGGTTTGACTCGTACATTACATTTTTCTATGGTGAAATGACACAGCTAGACATGAACATCACTTTAACAAAAACAATTATGTTACTTAGTGCAAAAATATTTATGTATTCTGTAAATTTGGGGGAACAATCTCAAGGTTTAAAAAAAAAGTTAATCAGCCACAAAAGTGCTATCCGTGGATCTCCACTTAATTAACAGGTTTTTTTTAAAAACAACAAATCAGATAAAAATGTATTCCAGTACACGGAGGAACTCCTTTTAAAACAGTATGGAAGTTACAACAGACTCATACCTGTATGTCTCAGTGGTGCTGCAAGGGCTGCAGAGTGCAGACCCGTCACCATGACCTCCGGACCCCGACCTGGAGTGACCTCCCTGGGCAGACCGGCCTGTTATGAGGCCCTGAATCAGTTCTCTGGTGGGGGCCAGAGGAGATGCATCCATGCCTGGCTGTGTGGTATCAGCGATGTCAGGGCTCAGAGGAGTCTGAACTCGTGCTTCTGAAGACCCCGCCCCAGTCCTACTCTCAGACTTTACAGATTGACGCCTCTCTGTCATTATACACACTGGTAAGTATGGTGCTGCCATGGCGACTGGATCCAAGAGATCTCCTGCCATGGCCAGCACTGGCTCAGCTCCACCGTCCCCCCCACCGTCTCTCCCTGTCTCTATTGCCCTTCTCGCTCCAGTGCTTTCTTCAGAGCGAGTGCTATCAGCCTCAGCCAGAGGACCCCGTCGCTGCAGTCGTTTCTTGCAGACTCTTACAACCTCATTCATATGCAGAAAGCTTGCAGCTGCCAATATGTCCTCCACTGGTGGAGACTCGCCCAGCTGTAGAACGCCTTCATAGACAAAGTCCAAGAGCAAGCTAAATGCAGCAGCGGTGACAATGTCGCTGTCGAGTGTGACAGAGCTGCTGCTGCTGTTTCCACCAAGGACGCCTTGAGGATCTGAGTAGAACATGTGGAAGAAAGGTGAGCAAGAGGCCAAAACAGCTCTGTGAGCCAGGAAACGAGATGAGCCCACCAGGACAGTGCAGTCACAGAGGAAGCCCCGCTGGCGCTGGGAACGCAGAGCTGACAGCAGCTGCTGAGAATGCTGGGGGAACTCCATCACCTGAACATAAAAGAAGAGAAATAAAGAGAGAAAGCAAAGACATAAGAATCAGGTAATCTAAATTCCAAATACAAGTTTCCCTCCTTACCACCAAGGGTATATTACCATGTAGAAAATGTACGCATTATTTTGGACAATATCTGACATTAATGATATATTTGTGCTCAATGTTGACTGTTTTCTGAGTGTGTTCTTACTATTAAACTGTCTAAGTTTAAATTCAGTTTCCCTTCAAATTAAGAATTTTAAATGTGTACAAATTAACCAATGATCAGTTGATGTTTAAGAATCAAGACTTACAATGGCAAAGCAGTGAATACTGAAGAAAAAAATGAATGAGCCAACCAAATAGAAAATCAAAGGTTTCATAGGTTTGGAAAATCATAAACCTTATCCTTAATGGGAACCCCTTTTGAGTGCACTCAAGGTTCCTGCACACTCGGTCAAAGTAGAGGACTTGTAACTCTTTGTTGTACTCAATCTGTTGTTAGCCCTTAAGTTAACCTGGCTTCAATGTAAAATAAATGTCTGCTAGTAAACCAATAAACATAAAATCGACATATACATATATAATAATGTTTCTTGGCACATGTTGAGTAATAAACATGTCCACATAAAGAAGTAGGATACTTACAGAAGGTAATGTTCTTTCTCCTATTGATTATTATTGACAGTTAAGTCATCACGTCTTAACGCATCTAACGTAACGTTTCCATGACGACCTGCTTGAAGTCTCCAGTGCACTGGCAGGCCAGCGTCCTCTTGCTTTGTTACACTTTAAAGACGACAGCCAATGGCATGCAGTTGAGAAAAACGAATATGGCAAACAACACAAAATGAATCATAGAAACCCCATATTTTATCAAATGGCAATATTATCCAGCTCTAGTTGAACTATGCTAACATTAGTTAGCCAACTAAGCCCAACCTCTGTATGAAATCCAGCACCGGTAGTCACAGCAACCGCAGGGTTTTTGTTTTGAGTTATATCATCATGAGGTATAAGTTACCGTAAAATGACAGCATGCATTTGGGGATGTGTTTTTTTTAACGATGATATTATGAATATTGTCTTACCTGCAGCTGCTGTCTGATGTTTTCTTCCAGGACAAAATGCAGCTTTCTTCTTCTGTGGTGCCGCCGGGACACCGGAGCTCCGCCCGGCCGCCACAGCGGCACCTAGAAGCGAATACAGAAAAGAACAGGAAGTGGGAAGCTGCACGGTTTGTTTACATAAGTTTACTGACAACGAGTGTGATCGTGTGATCCTGTGTCAAATTACGAGTAATGGTCTGAATATCTTAGCTTACTGAATTTAAATGGACAGTGGTGGAAGTGTAGGAGGCGGAAGAAAATCAGGCAGAGGAGGCAGAGGAAGGAGAGGAAATCGTGGGGGAGAGGTGAGAGATTGAAGCCCTATACATTGGGATATTGACCTCTTGACAGTTGAGGGACTGGTTTGTGACTCGTGGTATTGGGTGTCATGGCAGTCAGGATGAATGGTTGGTTATGGTAAAGTCAAGGACCTATATTTAAACGTGTGTGTGTGTGTGTGTGTGTGTGTGTGTGTGTGTGTGTGTGTGTGTGTGTGTGTGTAATGTAATCTGAATAATCGCACCTTGTCCTAATGAAATAGACACAGCAACACCTGTGTTCCAGTTGTGTTACTGCTTTTCAAAGGCCACATGTTGTTAATAAATTATTGCCAGTGTAACTATATTGAATTGCCCTTTTTTTTAAATGTAACCTGGGTTGATTAGTAACTTTTTGGGCAATCTGATTACATAACTACCTAAAACTAGCTGGAGCCTTAGCTCTGAGTGACTGATGCCTTGTCCCCTACCAGGGCAGAGATGTTCGCCTGTCTAAATCCTTGTCCTATGCTCTTCGCCATGGAGCCAACAAGATGGATCTTCAAATAAGTTCAGGTGAGCTCCCTTCAACTTTAATATATCAAATGAGACCTAAGATGTTCCATTCAGCATTTTAAAAACAAATAACTATAATCATCTTTGTTTTTGTGTTATTTTTTTCTCTCAGCATGGTTCAAACAGACATCATAAACAGGAATTCTGAACAAAGACTTATTTAAAAATGTGACAGTTGTCATTATATTTGATGCTTAATTTTATAATGAATTCAATCATGCCCATAAATCCTGCCCGCTAACAGTTTTGATCACACATGCTTTACATGTATTATCCATTTGGATTTAGAGCCATAGTAAAGTTCCTTATCCTCAACTCTGACCCTCGTAGATGGCTTCATGTTTGTGGAGGATCTCCTGGCTCACACGCAGTTCAGCTCATACTCACTGGAAGACGTTGAAAGAGTTGTGGCCACAAATGACAAGCAGCGCTTTAAACTTCATCGGCTGGAGGACGGCCGGCTCCAAATTCGAGCCAGTCAGGGGCATTCAATACAAGTATGGGGCTTTTTTTATTTAATCAGCAAACCAGCATGCTACGATATTCTATCCCCCTCGGTAAATGCTGAATTCATCAATATTCAATTTACACCAGAATTGCTTTTAGATAGATTTGGTGGACCACCTAACTTCAACTTCAATACATTCAAGGTACTTTCTTTAGATGGGAAATTAACTCTGGGAGATCCCTTAACAGCTTAAAACACAGTTCCATTTTGTTCCACAGAGTGCATACAAATGTTTTAAACCAATTTTCACCTTCAAAATAAAAAAGTAAATCTAATTTTCAGATGACAGATGCTGTTAGTCCTCTGACAGCCTAACAGGAAATATATAATTAGAATCCTATAAAATCAGGTTAGGTAAGGGTTCAAAAAGACATTGGAGAATCGCACTACCTCTGTTGCTGAAATTCATCTTCACTTTAATTACATTTTACTCTGTATTATGTTATATTTTTCTTGTTTGTTGCAAAGATTAACATGTCAGCAGAACATGAGATGTATACAAACCCTCATTGGCCTTGGACTGCCATCTAAAATGATTCAATTTGCCAAATGTTGTTGTTTCTGAACATTAGAACTTGATCTGGTTTTGTTGGGTAAACTCCCGTATTATATCTGCTCTCTGATAACACAGAGAGTTGCAAGCAGCTATTGTCTGAGATCGCATGATGTAGTATTGTTAGATGTGCCAAGAGCAAGGACTGTCTTAGGTAAGACAGCTTTTATGTGTGCCGCTCCACTTGTTTGGAACAATCTTCAGCAAGAATTGAAACTGAGCAATCTCATTCCTCTGCATGTTTTCAAAGCTAGGCTAAATGAAATGCTTGTTGATACTATGGGCACTTGTAAATGTCTATAACTATGTAAATGTATCCTGTAAATATAATGTATGATGTCCTTTATTGTTTTATGTTTCATGTGGAACCTATATGCTGCAGGTCTCCCTTGAAAAATAGATCTATGATCTCAATGGGACCAATCTGATTAAATAAAGGTTTGAAATGAAATGGTCACATTTTTGTATTGTGTGTTAACACTGGTTGCATTGCTGTGGGCAGGTAATGGATTTGGAGCTGAAACCGGTCCTGGCTGGTTCTCCAGACTGCCCCGCTGAGGCAGTTCATGGCACCTACCTCCGCAAGTGGAGCTCCATCCAGCAGCAGGGCCTGAGCCGCATGAGGAGGACACACATCCACCTGGCCCCCGGCCTGCCTGGGGAGGAAGGGGTCATCAGCGGTAAACAGTGTGTGTGCACGTGTGTGTGTGTGTGTGTGCACGTGTGTGTGAGTGTGTGCACGTGTGGGTGTATGGTTGTCTGTGTGACAGAAAGAAACTCATCTGAACATTGAGATAAATAAGTTCTACAGTTTCTAAACCACATGATACTATTTTATATTAAATTGACTTTTATGTTATAACATTTATTCAGACAAATGCTGAGTACCATTCCCTAATCATATCAAATATAGCTGTGAAAAAAATTAAAAGACCACTGCAGCATTATCAGTTTCTCTGGTTTTATTATTATATATAGATATGTGTTTTTTTTTAATTCTATCAACTACTGACAACATTTCTCTGTGTTGGAATTCAACAGACACTGAATGGAATGGCTGCCATACATGTAGAGATTGAGATTTAAGAAATATTTTGAGTGGTCTCTTCATTCTTTCCGGAGCTTTTATTGCCTTGCTTAACCTATTAGTACACACACGTAAACTTTGGTATCAATCATACCACTGTCAGTTTAATATGTAATTGGTCTACACATTTTCTTGTTTATTTTTTTACTCTATTCTTATTTAAGCCTTTTTACCTGATATTATTTATTTATGTTACTGTCTATATTAAGATACTTATAGGTTTTCTGTCCTTGTATTGCTGCAACAGCTGTATTTATAAGGTGTATCTTAATCTCAATCTTAATTTCCCCACTAGGAATGAGGGAAGACTGTGATCTTGCTGTGTATATTGACGTTCCCAAAGCTCTTGCTGGTAATCTCCACCACTAATGATTGCTAGTAACCACTATGCTTGATGTTGTCTTTATGTGTTGCCAATAAACCCTCTTACATGTGTTTTATGTATGTATACGCAGGCGGTATTGAGTTTTTCTGGTCAGATAACGGTGTGCTGCTGACTGCAGGGGACGATGAGGGAAAACTAATCCCTAAGTACTTCATCCGTGCCTTAAGACTGAGACCTACAAGTAAGAAAAAGTACCATATTTCACCAAACACATTTAATTTGATTATTTGAAAACTTTGTGCGAGTTTCCTTTACTAAAGTCACTTTCTTCCTGTGTTACAGGGAGTATCATACCACTGCAGTAGCATCATAGGATACTGCTCTGTCATTGGTCACAGCAAGACTCATCATGGTTTGTTTGATTCTTATCCCAGTTCCCTTGGTGACATATGTTGCTTAGCAGGAGCATACTAGCATCCAATAAGCTTATTTTCATTAGCAATAGGACAATCCATGGAGAAATCATCCTAAACGGACAAAGACTTTTGATTTTTGTTTCATCATTCAAAGGATCAGGGCAGGTTTAGGACAGTTTGGAAATGTAACACTAGTTAAAAACAGAACTTTTTAAATGTATTTTGAAGACATTTTATAAGTGTGATTTGTCCCTTGACTAAATATGGATAAGCAGAGGATACAGACACTGTGGTTTAATCTAACGGACAGCTGTAACAGTCTTGTGAGATATGAACACACACACAGCATGTTAGGCGAGATAAATGGTTAGAAGCTTCCTGTGGAAGAAACAGCAGAAATTACCCCCATAAGCTGCAACCATGAGGAGTAAAGACAACACAGAATGAAAAATGAATTGCTGTATTTACTTGAATAAATGTTTATTAGTGAAAACAATTACTATTGGCATGTATTTTTCTACGCCTTGTTTTAATTATTGGCAGTGATATTGTGGCTGCTGGCAATAATACTGCAGCTCTTTACAAAGCAAGGATTTCCATCCTGAGCGAAAAGGAAGTCTGGACGCTGCAGATCGAAACAGGAAACTATTTGCTAGCTGATGCAACATTTAATTTTACATTTTCATTAGTTTGGTTTTCAAGCCTGCTGAGACTGGTTCTGATGTCCAGCAGTTTGAACCAGCAACAGTCCATCCTGAAGTTAAGAGTCAGCATGGGGAACACCTTGAGTCTTGAACTGTCTGAACATGTTGTCCATCCACTATATCTGTGAATGTGTATAACATAGGATATATAAAAGGATAGACCGATAGACACAAGATCAGAAACTTATTTAGAATCATTTTTGACCGTTTTTATGTTTTTATCTATTCCATAATGTATCCTTCTGTTGAGGCACACAGAAGACCTTATGTGGGATTATTTGTGTGTTTTAGTTAGAGAGCTTCGTGGCCACCGGTCAGCTTGTGGAAAAGCTCTTCATTGAGCGTGTCACTCTTCGAACGACTGCGTGTCGACATGAAAATGTAGCCTCCAATAAACTCGTGAACGATTTTGCAGTCGGCGGTCACGCAGGCGAAAGCAATGTTGATGTTGCCTTCAAACTCTATGGCCACCTGGAGGAGTCAGAAACATATAGAGTATATCAAAGAAAGATATAAGATTCCTTCAATATGCAGATTTTTTACATTTATGTTAGGGAAATTACACAACTGTTGCTCTTACGGGTAATGTTCATGAGTTCACTTTCAAACAACGGCAGCAGGATTTAAGGAGTATTTGTGGAAAACTGGGAATCAAGTTTGATATTTGATTTCTCAAGTTCTGCCTTAATTTAATTTGACCTTGTGTGAATTTAATACAAAAATCGCAATAGGCACGATTTTTCAAAGATACCCTTTTGAGCAGTTAAACCACACATAGGAAACCTTAGTGGGAAAAGATCCAAATAATACACTTTTGTAAGGTCTGTTTAGCTAATTCAGTAGCACACCTTCCCTGGAAACCAAAGTGTGAGATCGTGCATACTGCAGACAGAAGGTGGATCAAAGCTATATTGTCACCTGTCGTATGTCCCAGTTGACATTCCACTGCTTCATGTTGTTGTAGCGCCAGGTCTTCACCACATCCCCCACAGCCAGGTCGATACGGATCAGACGGTTGGGAGCAATGCCCAGTACCTCGTCCTTACGACTGCCCTTAAACCTATTTAGCAAAAACATCTTAATCTTCTTTTCACTCAAAATCTAAACTGTTGATACAAAGGTCAAACTTTAATCCTCAATTCAATACAATACAATTCAATAACTTGCTAGATCATTGATGTGTTTTCAACCCTTTCAATCAAATTGAAAATACTGTTATTGATAGTGACTTGAGCCTAGTGACGAGCACACTGTTCCTAGAATTTTTAGACAGGAGTTTAAATCTTAATTTATACTAATGTTAGATTTTAGTTGGCTTTATTTTCTTGCTGTTAAATGTTGTTTTATAGTTTTAAATTGTTCATTTATCACGACTTGTGAGTGCTGTTCTGTTAAAGAAAGACTGAGGAGTTTAAGTAATTGCTTTATGTTGTGCCTTCATGGTCCTAAATTGATGCTAACAGGCATTTCATCAATTGTGATAAGTTTTAAATTGAACTTTACCTGACAACGACGTATGAGAGCCCGAAGTCTGGCAGGGCTTGCCAGATCTGCAGGAAGCGCATCACTGCATCTGTCAGTGAGAGCTGAGCCACGTTCTGGTATGCATCCAGGATACGAGGAGTCAGCTGGAGCAGCAGGCACAGGGCAAAAGGTCAGACGTTAGTATATTTCTGCTGCCTCATAAACACAATGGGCAGTAGTTTCAGCTGCATAGTAGTTCAATTAGCTCAATTGTGCAAAATCACTGTTCTGCTGTCCAGAAATGAAAGGAATATATCAGTTTACAAACTCCACACAACTTATGCAGTATCATTTAAGTTACATTTATTCACACCATGATAACCAAACATACTTTTCCGTTAAGCGTTACTTTTAAAACACTTCCACAATAAAAGAGAGAAAAGGCATGTGTTTATTAATTAGCAAAGTTTTGCTGTGGTTTTAACTCTGCCCCATTAACTTACATTTGATTATTCCTTTACCAGGGAGGTAAATCCTTTTTTCTTCAAGAATTAAAATTAGCACAGGAAAAGTACTGTCATTCAGTATATTAGATTTATAAATGACGGACTGGTGTGATTGAATAAAGTACTTGGTTGTAGCTACCTACTGATAAAATGAGAGTATTACATTTACTCTTTCTTTTTTGAGCCTACATCGAAGTTCCACCTCTCCTGTACCTGTTTGGCTTTGTACTTCTTATGGTAGCGTGGCGACACCAGACTGTGAGGATTGATGCTTTCATCGTTAGCATTTGCGTTGCCATGGGAACCTGAGCTGGTCTTCTGCATAGCCAGGAAGGAGCGGATGCTCTGGATCTCACTCTGGAAACTGCTGTCAGCCAGACTTTTGCCTTTGGAGGCCAGTCGACACCCAGCCATCCACTGAGCATACTGCTGCTCCTGGAGGGCGAGAGACAACCGCAGAGAGAGAGAGAGTAAGGTGGGGAGTGACAGATTACATATCATTAGGATTAAGTATGAGACAAGATAACATTCAAAGAAATTGTCAATTCGATTATTGACACAATGTCAGGGATTACCCCAGGGTTTCCCACACATAGACTTTACTTGGGTGGGCCGCCCAGGTATATTAACGGCCGCCAAAGTATATTTCGCCCATCACATTTTTTTATTACTAATTTAAAGTATGGCACATTTTAAAATTCAATGATGTTTGTGTGTGTGTGTGTTCTTACATTTTCACAGCGCAGATAGACCTCGTTCATGCCCTCAGGCGCTGGTATCAGGAGTCTAATTAAGAACTTCTGGGCTGTCACGTTAACGTCCGGAGCCACCTCACATCCTGTGTGCAGGATAAATATCAAACCACTGACCAATTCTGAAATGTGACATTTATGGGATTGAAATAGAATTGAACCCGACCACTTGGTCAGACTTCTCGAGTTTACTGCCACGCCTGAACCTGCTGAGTCATACTCGCAGTTCATTTTTCTGTATTTATAGATAACCTAATTCTCTTTTTTAACAGATGGAGGATGAAAACAGACTTGAGAGAAGCACCTTCCCTTTTTAACATAGGTGGAAAGTTCTGTGTTAGTTTATGTGTTGATTTTGATAAGCAGTGATGTTACAAAGAGGTGGATAAACAGATTGCTAAAGTATGTCTACTACTTAATCAGCCACTAATCTGTAGATACATATTGATAACTGATGACACATTATTGGTGACATAGCAACAACATATCCTAAAAATATAAAATACAATTAGATATTCAGTACCTTTGAGGTTAATCTGTTGAATGGGCTCTCCAATGCTCTCCTCTTTGCTCTTGAAATAAGAGATGGAGGTATCCTGGAACTTGAACCAGTACTGCTTATATCCTTTAAGAGTCAGCCTCTTTGGCCTGAAACAAACAAACACATTGCCCAGGCTATGTACTGACACCGATTAAAAAGGAAAAAAAATCAACTATGTTTTCACTCTATTTTAACACACACATCACATCTAAGACAAAAGAGGCAAACGTCTGTTATCCTCCAAAGACCTGGTAATTTATCATGTCCCCTATTGGGGAAATGATACTGACGACTTTATTTTAAACACCACGCCTGCAGTTTATTTAAGTTCTAATGTACTGTGAAAATACCCTTTTGGACTCTAGTGATCACACATGGGAGTGCAGTTAACATAGCTATTGCTATGTGCTTTGTTAAGTTGTTAATTCCTTTATCATTGTGGCGGGAATTGAAAGATAAAACACATTTTATGGCAGGGCAGTAAGGGAGTTAAGTGATCGAGATAAAAAAATCCACAGAAACAAAAAAAACCTATCAAGGCTATGCCAATGGATGCTTGAAAATGTCTCTCACCTGAATATCTTCAGATAGTCATTGAGTTCTGGTGCAGTCATGTTTTCCTGGATGAAAGACAAAGATGTTTTTTCCATCAGTAAACAAAATACTCTTCTTTTGCCTTCTTATTAAATGTATTGTTTTGTGAATTGTTAACATTCTTTCTATATGTTTTGACATACATTTCAGTGACACACAAGTAAATACAACATGTCTGACCAGCATCTCGGAGGCGGAGCTGCTCTCTCCGTCCATCTTGACCTCCAGGGACTGCAGGGCAGACTCCAGGTCGTCCATAGCTGCACTGGAGCTCAGCGCCTTGGGCTCCGACTCAGACACCTTACTGATGTGGTACTACAGGAGAGGAGAGCAGAGGTGGAATGTAACTAAGTACATTGACTTAGTTATTCAACTTAAGTACACTTTTGTATATGACAATAAAGCCCTTTGAACCTCTGAGTGTTTTCTTCTCGTACCTCTTCTTCTTCTCCTCAACATTTAAGAGGTGAAATCCACTACTTCACTCCACCAACAAATACTTTACAAGTTTTCACAAAAAAAGAGTTTGGCTTTAAGGCCAATTTTTTTTACAATTGTTTGAATCACTTTCCAATATCTTAAATGTGAAGATTTGCTTTATTTCTGCATTGGATAAAAGCCTCAACTAAATGAAATGTGATCTACTTTCATTTTTATTATTTTATTAATTTAATTTTCTTTTATGTATCTGTTGAATTGAATAACCTGATCAAAATTAAACAATTATGAATTGATATAGTATGTCATTCACAAAATAGCCAAATGCACATGGCAACATTTGAATTCCTGTAATTTTGTATTAACTTTTTATTTTATTTTTTTATAAACAAACAGCCAGACAGACAGACAGCACAATAGCAGTCGGCAAACAAGTAAGAATGACAACAGTATGACTCGAGTCCGACAGGATAAAAAACAAAGACAAAATTAAAAATAAATAAAACTAAACTAAAAAATGGACTGCGACAGGACCAAAATCAACAACAAAAACAAAATCTAAATCTAAAGGATCTGAGTCTAAGTCCATTATTAATAAAATAATGCAAAAGTAGAAATCAAACAATGTGTATAAATGGAACAAAAAGATCAAATATATCAAAGAAAAACATAGCACTTGTTGGTCAGTCAGCCGCCCACTAATCACAGTTTAACACCGCAGGTCCACCACCCTATTGTACAGAGACATCCGGCATGTCCAGCTCCCGTATATACTTGTAGAAGGGGTTCCAAATCTTGTGGAATTTCCCCAGGGAGCCCCTCAGTATGCACCTTATTTTCTCGAGTTTGGCTGAATTTAGGACTTCATTTAACCACAAGGTGTGTGAAGGGGATATTGGAGACTTCCACATGAGCAATATCAGGCGTCTGGCTAGTAAGGGTAACAAAGGCTATGTAGGCTGTCTCCAGACAAGAGAGTGGCCATGTGGGTGGGGTTACACCAAACAGTGCAGTCATAGCATTAGAGCGATCGGTTTTCCAGTGATTTCTGACAGTGATCTAAAGATGTCAGTCCAATAAGAGTGTAAGACCGGACAAGACCAGAACATGTGTGCATGACTCGCCGGTGCTTGGCTACATCTGTCACAAGTTGGGTCCACCTCCTTATATATTTTAGAGAGCCTGAGCTTAGTAAAGTGTGTGCGATGCACAATTTTGCACTGAATCAGTCCATGTCTAGCACAAATAGAAGATTTATGTACATTAGCGAGTGCTTTTTACCAAAGTTCTTCAGAAGTCTCCTCCCCAAGATCTGTTTCCCAAAGAGATTTAATGGAGTTCAGGGTAACCAAACGAAAAGAATAAATCTGAGCATAAATACACGTCATCATTCCCTTCAGAGTAGATAACGGCCTAAGGAGTGTGTCTAGCGGCGAATCAGTTGGGTGATTAGGAAACTGAGGAAATCTATTATTAACAAAACTGCGAATCTGTAGATACCTGAAGAAATGTTGGGTTGGTAGTGCAAATGTATCAGATAACTGTTGGAAAGAGGCAAATGTGTTGTGAATATAAAGGTCTTTGAATGTTTTAATGCCTTGGTTAAACCAAATAGTAAATGCGCCATCTACTAAGGATGGAGGAAAAACATGGTTTGCAGTTAAAGGGGCTAATGTAGAGTATCTTTGGAGATCAAAGAAACGTCTGAACTGATTCCAAATGTTCAAGGATGCTTTAACAATTAAAATACATTTTTAGTGTAAGCAGAGGAGGGGGTCTTAATGGGAGAGTGAGCCAATGCTGAAAGAGATACTGGACTACAGGAAGCAGCCTCCATTTCAAGCCAGACAGGCGGAGAGTGCTGTGAGTCAGACTGCAGCCAGGACTGTATTATTCTTAGATTTGTAGCCCAATAATAGAACCTCAAATTCGGCAGAGCAAGTCCACCCCGCGCCTTTGGTCTCTGTAAAAATAGCTTGCGTATCCTTGGGGTTTTCTTGTTCCAAATAAAGTTAGAAATAATAGTGTCAGTTTTACAAAAAAAAGTTTGAGGGAGGAAAATGGGCACACATTGAAATAAATATAGATATTTGGGGAGTATATTAAATTTTATAGAATTATTTCGGGCAACCAGAGACAGATTTAACACTGACCAGCGGTCAAAGTCTTCCTGTACGCGGGACAAAAGGGTGGCAAAATGAGCTTTATAAAGATCTTTAAATGTATCGGTCACCTGGATCCTGAGGTAAGTGAAGCTGTGTAGTGCAATTTGAAATGGTAGACTATGTAGAGGGAACTCACGCGCCGCTCTATTCAAAGGGAACAATTCGCTTTTACTTAAATTTAGTTTATAACCGGATACAGCACCAAATTAGCTAAGGATAGAGAGAGCTGCAGGGACAGACACGGATAAGTTAGAGACATAAAGAAGAAGGTCATCCGCCTAAAGAGAAGCTCTCTGTCCTCTGAAATGCCCACTTCCTTAATTGTATTTTTGACATTTAGCTGTTTTTAATATGTATGTGTCTACCCGTTGACACACATTTGGCTTTTCAGTAGCAGTGTTTTCTACCTGTAGAGCTCCAAACAACATCATCTCCTCCTCGGTGCAGTCGATGTCCTCCAGCAGGATGGCCCAGCGCGCCTGCTCATAGAGCTGGGTCAGACGCACAACATCATACTGCACAGCCAGAGAAAATAGGAGTCAAATCAAGAGTGGAATGGAATGACATATTCAGACTGTATCTATAAAAACAACATTTACACATACACACCTTAGGATCTATATCATAGGAGGCAAAGTATTTGAAGCGAAGCCAAACTCTGTCATTTTCTTGGATGCCCTGCTGCATGAGACAACGAGATGAGTCCAACCACCTTGGAGGGAAAGAAAATAAGTATATGACCAAGTCAACAATAATTACTTTCTAATCAATGAAACCCCCATTGTGTCAGACCTTTTGGTAAAATAGTTTGCATACTAATATGTTTTGTTCTTTTCTCAAAGGCTGGAGATTTTTCGACCAAGAACACAGAAATGTATGAGGAATTGTGAAATAATGTAATGTAATAAATGGACTTGCAATCAACTGACAAATAATAGCAAACCATTTCAAAGACTAATTCACCATAAGAACTCAAAAGTGGCCATGAAAAGGACAACAATGCTTTTCAAATAAATGATGTACCCTCTTTAGTGTTTGACTTTTTGGTGAGCAGTCTTGCAGGACCTGTTGTCAAGCGGTAGCATGGCTGACAGATCCAAAAGTTGCATTTTCACGTCATATCTGGGTCAATATTCCTATTTCCCCAGATCTTTGTAAAGGAATATGCCATGATATGATATATTCACAGACTGCCATTGTCCTTGAAAAAGCTTTCCAAACAGATATGTCTGTACCTGCCGTTGATGTGGGCCTTGTCTACCACGCTGGCTGGTCGGAACTGCTTGGTTATGACCTCGGGGGCAGGGGGAGGCTGGGTGACTGACAGCATCTTGTAGACGGCCTCCATCTGAGGTGAGTCGGCAAAGTGAGCAGGCATGCCATTATACAGACAGGGCCGGGATGCTGTAAAGCAAGTGTCAAAGGGTATAGTCAAATTTAAAAAGGTGGTTAGATAGTGGAAGTCAGGAAAACAGTCCAACATCTCTAATATATGAAAATGTTGTTTTGAAGTCTATTCTTACACCAATTACACCAAACACCTTCAAGTTCACCTATTATGCAAAATCCACTATTTCATGTATTTTATTCATTTGTGCCCCCTCTGTGTTAAGAGATTCAGAAAGATTCAGGAGAATAAATTATCACTCTTTTTGTCCTGATTCATTTAAATAAAATCAAATAAGCTGATCAGATTTTGGCCACTTTGTAATGTCCCAATGTGTTGGGTTGTGCAACCATTAGCCAATGGTATAACAGCCACCCTCCTTGGGCCTTTCTCATTTCACTAATTTCCCCTCTTCGACTACTTGAATCCTCGGTCCTCCGGTAGTGATCCGGAAATGGTTTTCGGCGCACCATGTTGAAGGTCATCTAATTTCTCTAAATGCACATCATGGAGCGAGGATCGAGCGTCAAGGAGGCTCTTTGGAGGAGCTATAATATACCCCACCACCAAAGCAAAAACGCAAAATCAACTTCCGTAAATTAAGCTGTGTCTCATCCTCCCTCTCTGAAAAAATATCCACCACTCTCTTTGTGGACCTCCATAGCCCCTCTGATCTCACTGACTACTACAACAACATTCTGTCCTCCTGCCTTGACCAACTTGCACCCATAAAAACCAAAACAGTTTCCTTCACCCACTCTGCTCCCTGGTTCACCCCTGAACTCCGTCTGATGAAAACCCGTGCCCGGCAACTTGAAAGACTCCGCAATAAAACAAGTCTCACAATTCATTCTCAAACCTACAAAGACCACCTACAGCATAAAGATGCCCTCTTCCATGCCCGCACCACCTACTACTCTAGTTAATCCACTCTGGCTCCGGAAACCCCAAAACACTCTTCTCACAATAAACAAACTCCTCAGCCCCCTGGACACCACCACTCAGTCATTCACAGTAGACAAATGCAGCTCTTTTCTCAAATTTTTTCAAAGCAAAATAGACAACATTTACAGCAGCTTAACCACTACCACACCAGCTCTCCCTCAAGCCACCTGCCCCCCCTTATCCTGCCAACCCCTGTCCCAGTTCTCCCCTGTCTCCCCTACTGACCTCTCTGATCTCCTCACAGGAATGAAAACTGCCACCTGCACCCTGGACCCCATCCCCTCCAGCTTTGTTAAGGCCTGCCTTCCTACTCTCTCTTCACTCATCACTACAGCAATCAACTCCTCCCTGTCTTCTGGCACCGTCCCACCGTCCCTCAAAATAGCTGCTATCACCCCTATTCTGAAAAAACCCGGACTAAACCCTGACAACCCTAATAACTTCAGACCAATCTCGAACCTACCCTTTCTTCAAAAGTTCTGGAACGCGCTGTAGCGTCACAACTTAAGCATCATCTCTCTGCTAATAACCTCTATGAAACTTTTCAATCGGATTCCGCCAAACCACAGTACCGAAACGCACTCCTCAAAATACAAATGACCTTCTCCTCTCCTCCGATGCTGGTAACCTCAACATCCTCATCCTCCTTGACCTCAGCGCTGCCTTCGACACCATCAATCACTCCATCCTCCTCACCCGTCTTGAAACCACCTTCAACATCACCGGCACTGCCCTCTCTTGGTTCACTTCATACCTCTCTGACAGAAACCAGTTCATCTACATCAATAACTGCAAATCCCTCACCGCTCCTCTACCCCAAGGTGTCCCTCAAGGCTCAGTTCTCGGCCCCCTCCTCTTCATTCTCTACCTGCTTCCCCTTGGTCACATAATCCGCCGTCATGGACTTCAATTCCACTGCTTTGCCGACGACATCCAGCTTCTCATCTCCACCAAGTCCATCTCCACTGCTACCCACTCCATCCTGACAAACTGCATCACTGAAATAAATCCTGGCTCCAACTTAACTTCCTGAAACTCAACTGCGATAAATCTGAAATAATAATAATTGGACAAAAAAAGCTCACCACACCTATCCATAACTTCACCCTCAACATAGACGGCTTCCCAGTTCAAACCTCCCCTCACATCCGGAACCTAGGCATCATATTTGACCAAACCCTCTCCTACAACAGATACATCAAACAGATCACAAAGACAGCCTTCTTCCACCTCAAAAACATCGCCCGTCTACGTCCATCCCTCTCTCCCACTGCTGCCGAAACCCTCATCCACGCCTTCATCACCTCCCGTCTGGACTATTGCAACAGCCTCCTCTATGGTTCACCTGCAAAAATCCTCAACAAACTTCAATATATCCAGAACTCCGCCGCCCGTCTACTCACCCACACCCGAATCCGTGAACACATTACACCCGTCCTCATCAAGCTCCACTGGCTCCCCATCCCCAATTTTACGTTATTTTCTCCACACAGGTTACGTCGGTCACATATCAGAAACTGGTCGTAATAAAACTCACTCGTAATGACACTAATCCAAGACTCAAAGTCCTCATATCGTATCGTCAAAAGGTAGTTTTTACATAATTATATTGATTTTTATAAATCACAATTTTACGTTATTTTCTTCCACACAGGTTACATCGGTCACATCAAGAAAACTAGGTTGTAACTAAAACTCACTAATCCAGCTTGTACTGGACCTTCCATAACTTCTTTATTCGATTAACAAAGGTAGTTTATAATTATATTTGACTATAATCCTCACAATCTTTTACGTTATGTTTTATGACTCCAAACACAGGATACGTCGGTCACATCAAGAAGACTGGGTCGTAACAATATATAAAAACTCATTACATCCAGTGTACTGGGATACCTTCACATCAACTATGTTCTAATTTAGTTACTCGATTAACAACTTAGGTATTCGAAATGGTAGGTTGTTTTATTCAAAGTATAATTATAATTTTATAAATCTCACGATTTTACGTTATTTTTCTCCACCACAGGATACGTCGGTCACATCAAGAAACTTGGGTCGTAAATAAAACTCACTAATCCAGTGTACTGGACCTTCCATAACTTCTTTATTCGATTAACAAAGGTAGTTTTATAATTATATTTTTATAAATCTCACAATTTTACGTTATTTTTTTCCACACAGGATACGTCGGTCACATCAAGAAAACTGGGGTCGTAAATAAAAACTCACTAATCCAGTGTACTGGACCTTCCATAACTTCGTTATTCGACTAAAAAAGGTAGTTTTATACATAGATTTTTATAAATCTCACAATTTTACGTTATTTTTCTCCCACACAGGATACATCGGGTCACATCAAGAAACTAGGTTGTAACTAAAACTCACTAATCCAGTGTACTGGACCTTCCATAACTTCTTTATTCGATTAACAAGGTAGTTTTATAATTATATTATTATATAAATCTCATAATTTTACGTTATGTTTCTCCACACAGGATACGTCGGTCACATCAAGAAAACTGGGTCGTAAGATAAAAATCACACCTAATCCAGTGTACTGGACCTTCCATAACTTCTTTATTCGATTAACAAGGTAGTTGTATAATTATATTTTTTATAAATCTCACGATTTTACGTTATTTTTCTCCACACAGGATACGTCGGTCACATCAAGAAACTGGGTTGAATTAGAAAACTCACTAATGCCAGTGTACTGGACCTTCACATAACTTTCGGTTATTCCGTACTACAAAACGGTAGTTTTTCTTACATAGATTTTATAAAATCTCACAATTTTTACGTACGTTAATTTCTCTTTCTCCCACACAGGTTACATCGGTCACATCAAGAAACTAGGTTGTAACTAAAACTCACTAATCCAGTGTACTGGACCTTCCCATAACTTCGTTATTCGATTTAAAAAGGTAGGTTTTATAATTATATTTTTATAAATCTCACAATTTTACGTTATTTTTCTCCACACAGGATACGTCGGTTACATCAAGAAACTGGTCGGTAAATAAAAACTCACTAATCCAGTGTACTGGAACTTCCATAACTTCTTTATTCGATTAAAAAGGTAGTTTAACTAATTATAATATTTATAAAGTTCATAATTTTTACGTTATTTTTCTCCACACAGGATACGTCGGTCACATCAATAAACTGGGGTTATAACTAAAACTAACTTAGCCAGTGTACTGGGACCTTCCATAACTTCGTTATTCGACTAAAAATTATTATTATTATTATTATGTACCTTGAAAATATCGCGAAAAGTACTTTGGTTTCTGCGAAACTGTCTCTTAATTCTCTTGTGTTGTTTTTTTTCTGTTTCTTTATGTTTTTCTCTATTTGTTTTGTCTTTTTTTTATGCCCCCCTCACCCCACCAGTCACCAACTTACGTCACAACTTGTCTACCCAAAACTCACTACAAAACTTACGACACTCCCTCCTTCTTAGAGACCTACCTAACCCCATCACTCAAGGTCTCCTACCCACGTCGTTGCCTCTTCCGAGACAGCGGGGTTCTGAACTCCAACCAGGGCTCACCCCTCCCTGTCCTTCCAACCGTCACCGTCTCGCCTCCCTCGCTCACCCTTCTCACAGACACCTCCTCCAGTCAGTCCATCCTACCCCGGTCCAATACCTCCCGAAACATGCAGTAGTCCTCCTAGAACATGA